GGGTTGGAACAGCAAGAGGGCTTCAGTGCTTTGATCATGCTTTTGGATGCTAGCCCCTTATTCGCGCTAGCCCAACAGGCTTGGATGGCCTGTTCTCCTTTTAAGAGCCAACTTTATGGATAAACAGGGAAATCAGCCAGGGAAGAGTCAGTTGCAGAAGCACTGAGCTTCCTCAGATCCTGCTAAAGGCAATGGGAAGTGTAAGTGTTCAGCACCTTGAGAATTAGGCCATGTCCACATGCTTGTACATGCCCAAAATGATGCAGCTATCAATTTAAGTGTCTGTATAAGCAGAGGCCAGGCTCATTGTGCTAGGGTCTGGGAACGGAAGGCAGAGCTTGTGCAGCGCGCACAGGCGGAGCGAACCGAGGTCTGGCTCCCGCGCGGGGCATGGAATTTACTCCATTGTCCTCTGTGTCCTTGTTACAGGTGACTTTTTCTTACCAGATTTTGGCAGGATGAGAATGGCGTCCTCTGGCAGCCCCTGCCCCTTGGAGAACTGGGTGAACTTCTCCAGCCGTTCGGGACTCAGCTCCTTAGTTCTGCCTGATCCAAGGAAGCAAAACACTCCAGAGTGAGCATGAGACCTTCATCTCAGAAGGAAGGGAAATAGGTCACACCATGGTCTGGTACAGTCCACCCAGCTGCACTGGTGACCCCAGCATGCCCTTGGGTGGCAGTACTTGGTGTCCTGGGGACAGGCTGCTCTGTTAGTTGCTATGGGAACTAGAGAGAAGTAGAGGGTCTCCTGGTGTCTGGCATCCTCCTGAGCAAAGTCCACTGTATACTCATCTTTGTGAGGGACCCCAGGGCTGGCATCCAGCCTTTTGGCTCTGTGAATTGCCTCCCAGAGCATTGGGGCTAGAGCTGAACATGCTGTCTCTGCGGGAGATCCTGCCTCAAGGCCCGGAGGGGGGCCCAGGGCACCAGCTAGAAGAGACACCCAAGAGGCAGGGCCAAGGCAGCAAGACTTGCTCTCCTGGCCCAGACGTACCGTAAAGCAGCACCATGGTGAAGGTGTTGGTGTCCTTGACTTTCTTGGTGTACACCAGAGCATACTCATCGTAGTTGGTCTCCACCACCCGGATGTTGTGCTGGCTGCCCCAGCCTGAAGGGGCACAGACAAGGAGAACAGGGCTGAGACAGCAGAGATCACATGCACCCACTGCCTCCCTTTACAGTTGCAGCCGGAAGCACCTTCCCCAGCTTGTTTTATGGCTGTCCTGGCAAGGGTTAATTTACAGCTTGCAGGGGGTTAACTGCCTGCTGTGATCTCTTTCCTGGGGCAGCAGGAGTCACAGACAGGGCTTGGGGGTTGTGGGGCCAGAGGAAGCAAAGGACATACATGAAAGCAGCCAGCTGGAGTCCCAGGCAGGGAAAAGTCCATGGGCAGTGCTCAAAACCCGGCTCTCTCTGTTGCACTTGATATTCATGGTCAGACCTCTTTGATCCTTTCTTATGAGGGAGTGGGGAGCCCTGGAGAACCCCCCTCACTCAGCCTTACTTCCCACCAGCCCTGTCCATTCACTGCAGGGTGAGCGCTGGCTCACAGACCTGTGGTATCACCATGCATTCCTGCTGACAGGGGAACAGCCTAAGGCAGCGCTTCCCAAATTTTTCCTCACCCTGACCCCATTTATGACCCCATTGCCTCAGCATGGCCCCTTGCTCCCAACCCGCAGCATTCCCCGAGGTGCCCCAAGGCCAGGGCCTGCAGTCCCCTGCCTCCCCCAGCAGTGCTTGAGCCCCAGCTGCTGCCCACGGGGCATGGCAGCTGCTGCAGCCAGAGCAGCACAGCTGAAGAGGAGTCCATGGGGGGTAGGATGTGGTATGCTTGCTCTGGGCTTAGGGCTCCTCACCATACTGCCTCCCCTTGGGGGCTCCATGGGCCAGTAGGCAGGACCCAGCACAGTCGGGAGCACCACGCTGCCATGGCCATCAAGCTGAAGCACTCCCTGCCATCTAGCAGTGGGGGCACAACTCTGTGCCACTGCCGTGCCTCACTTTGGTGACCATGGAGTCACCCACTGGGCCATGGAGGCTGCTCCTACCTGGAGCTGGTCCGGCCCGACTGCAACCCCACACCCCATGCCCCGCTGTGGGTGCAGAGACACATGCTTCCCTGCCACATCACCTTTGCCCCCCTACCCCAATGCCTTGCCTGTGCCCCCTTCTCCCACCCCTATAGACTTACCTGGAGGGAGCTGCAGGAGCTGCTCTCCATAGCTGCTTGGATGCCATATGCATGTGTGCATGCACATGCATGTGGCACCCCTTTCCTCTGATCACCCTTGCCCGCTCCCCCCAGTCTCAAGCAGCCCCTTGCAGGCTGGAACTCTGCCAGTGTTACCCCACATTTTCCCACATTTTTCTCTGGTAAAGGAGGAAATCCACATTTTTTCCACAGTGAACAGAAAACCCGGATTCCTGTTTATCATGACCCAGCCTGCTGATGTTGTAACCCTATTTGGGGTTGCGACCCACAGTTTGGGAACCGCTGGCCTAAGGCCTATGCCTGGAACGTCTGCAGAAGAGAAGGGTCACATTGTTGGCTACTGTGAGCTGGCATGGATGGTGGTGGCGCAGGGCCCAGGAGCACCCTTGGAAGAACTGCTTTGTGGGCTGAAGCGGAGATCACCCAGTTTTCTCCAACTGGAGATCTGGGTCACTGACTCCAGCAGAATGCAGCCAATTCACCACCTGGGGACCTGGCACAGGCAGATGTAAAGTGCTATGGGGAGTCGTAAAATACACATCAGGTTCCAAGCCCTGGGCAGGATCCATCAGACCTGTGGGCACAGCTCCATGATGATGACTTAGCTCTTGCTGAGTGTAACAGGCAACTGGATGCTAGCCCCACTCTGGGTCTCAGGCCCCCAGCACCAAGCCCACTGGGCTCATCCATCTCAATCCCCACCAGCAGGTTCAGCCACATGCAATCTCATTCATTTTCCTTAGCAGCTGTTGCCTGTTCATATCCCTTCCACTGATGCTGCTGGGCAGAGGTCAGAGAATGGAAGGGAAGAAAGCAGGGGAGGTCTCTCCTCCCTCGAGGGAAGAAGAAATGAGAAGCTGGAAAAATGGGAGAAAAAGAGTAGCAGGAAAAGCAGAGAGTGAGAACACTACTGAGGATTTGGGTTTATCCAGTGCTCTCCATGTTTCCCATAGCACCTCCCCAAGGCAGAATGAAGGGAAAGCCAAAGGACCAGAGAATTGCAAGGCTGTCAAGAGACCTTAGGAGATCAGCTAGTTCATCCCCCTGCACTGGAGCCCTTACAAAAAGGGGCCTGAGGAAAGACAGAGGGAAAGCAGGAGCAAGAAGGAAGAAATAGGGGCTTCCAGCTACACTCCTTCCTCCTCCCAAGGTGAGATGGAGAACCCAGCAAGGAACCTCACTATGTGCACATCCTCCCTGCATTCCTGAGAGGCAGATTTAATTCATCCTATGACTCAGTTAAGGCTGAACGTGCTCAGTCCCTCTCAAGATCAGGCCCTACAGCTCTATGTCTATGTCTATCCTTGGTCTATGTCTTATTCTTGGGAATTGCACAAATCCCTGTTTGCCAGCTCTGGGCTCTGGGCTCTGTGCTGTGGATCAAGGGTGGCATGGGTCACACTTTGCTGCTTCCCTGCACCAACACTGATCTCAGTTGTGCCCTTGTTTGTGTTTCTGGCTACAAAAGAAGGTAATATTTAGCTCTGAATACATAATTAGGGCCCTACTCCTTCCTGTGCTCGGCCAGTCTGAGCTCTCCCATCAATCTCTCACAGACTGGGGGGTTCTGATGGGATCAGCTCCTTAGTCACTGAGCTGGTGATTTTATAGGGTCTTACTTGCCTGAACAGGCAAGGATCCTGCCGTCTGGCTGAGGCTGATGCCCTCTGCCAAGAACCTTGGCATTGCCCTCTCCCATTGTACTTCAGCATCACATAATGGCAATTGGACACATATTCCTGGAGCGCTTGCCCAGGCTGAGGGTTCAGTTCCCAGCCCTGTAATCTGTTTGCTCTGACTATTAAGTACCAGACCTGCCAAGTCCTCAGGATATACAAACTGCCTGGGACTCTGCTAGCAGGAAGGTGCCTCGAACATGAAGAATAGTGGTTTATCTGATGGCTTCTAGCCATCCTGCCCAACAAAGGACAGTGCTGTTCTGCACCCAGACCACAACCTCACTCAGGGTATGGCCAATGAACGTTTACTCACGCTGGCTGGTGTAGCTGAATTGGCCAGGCTGGTCTGTCTTGATGTAAAGGCTGTTCCTCTTCTCGCACCTATCAGACCTGCAGGGGCACAACAGGAGACAAAGAACAAGAGCCGGCAGCTCTGCCAGGGCTCCACATGCCACCAGTGCCTCAGGCTCCAGGTGATGGCCAAAGCTGCCCCATTCCTGGGTTCTGCTCCTGTTTGTGACCCTTGAGCTTGGGTCAGGGAGCTCCTCTGACTCCTACCTTGCCACCACTGAACTCCACCAGCACAAGGGAAAGCAGAGTCAAGCCCTCAGTGCCCTTAAAGGCAGCACGTCCTGGGCTGAGGAGAGACCCCAGTGTCTCCTACGTGGCTTTCCCTACCCCAGCAGCCCTCATACTCAAGCCTCCAGCTTCCCCAAGCTTCCATAGAACTGGATGAAGTCAGGATTGGGCCTCAAGTGACCTTGGTGGGCTCCCCACGGACACTGTAGGGAAAGTTGAGGTCCCCCAAGATCCTTCTGCCTGACTCATTCCCATCCTAAGGGGACCAATTCTAGAGGCATTAAGTCTGCATCACTGCACTAAACCCACTCTAAGACATCCAGGCACTGAGCCTGCTTGGCCAGGGGGCCCACCCTTGGTCTTGCTGTGGGTGTCATGACAGACACAGAAGAGGAACATAAGAAAGGGCACCCCTGGCCCCACTGAGCCCCTCTGGGGGAGAGGGGCAGTGAGTTGTGCCCCCCCGCCCAGCACTGACAGCAGCATTCCCTGGTGGCACCTGCCTTACTTGGGGTAGGTGCTGGTGACATCCAGGTTGCCTTCTGGGGTGGACTCAATGACAGTGGTGCACATCTTCATCAAAGCCTTCTTGTCCTGGAACCACTTGGCATTGGAGGCCAGACCAATGGTGTACCATGTCCCTGTAAACTGCACACGGCATCCTCTCACCACAGCAATAGTGGCACCACCAGTACAGGTAAAACCCTGGGCCTCCCACCCCAGTGTCCCAACCTCTAACAGGGGCCAGAACCAGCTACCTCAGAAGATGAGGCAGGAAATTAGGCCATTATGGAATAACCAACTCTTTCTTTTCCCCCTCTCAGCTGGGACTGGTGTATGCACAGCAGTGGGAGGTTCTTGTTCTATCTCCCATAACTGTTGGTGCTCTCTTCAGCACTACAAATACTTGGCTTCAATTAAATCATGGGGCTGTGAGTTCCACCAGCTAATTATATGGAAAAGGTTCCTTTAATCACTCTATATGGTGCATTCCCTTCCTGTTTCCATGGATGCCCCTAGCCCTATGCATAGGAGAGAAGGACCTGGCTTGTATGGGTCTTCCTATTCAGTATCAGCTGCCAGCACTGCCTATGACAGTCTGCCCTACCAGCTTTAGGGATATTGGTGCTGGTATGATTTTGCTACTGGTACAATAAAGGAAGGGGATGCTGCTCAGGGAAGCCAGGCACAGAGGGGAAAGACAATATGCACCTCCCTTCAGCCACTACTGTGGCCACAGGCCCTGACTGAAGTCACAGCCCCAACCCACATTCAGCCCGGAATCTGAACCCAAATCCAGATGTTCCAGCTGCCCTACAATGGTCTGATGATACCTCAAGTCCCCCCAGTATGCTCTGTATAATGGTGCTGGGGAGCATTCAGCATCCACACCCAGTGTGGGACTTAGATTCTCAGCTGGCCCACGCCACCATCCAAAACAGGCTGAACCAATCCTGCCTCTCTCCACTGCCCTGCCTTCAGCAGCTTCTGGAATCGGGCCCAGCTCCAACCCCATCTCTACAGGTACAAGGAAGGGATCTGATCCAACATCCCCATAGCAGGCTGGAGCGCAGGATTGTCTGGCGGCCACGTTACCTTCTCCGGCTGGAAGTCAGGCTGCACAGGCACATCCTCCTGCGCACACAGCGAACCGATCAGGGCCAGCCCCAGGATGCTGAGCAGCGCTGCCTGCATGCTTCTGATTCTTCTTCCCCTCACCTCTGTGATCCTGTGGAGCTGAGCTCACTGGAGTGCTGTGCACAGACAGAGAGGCAGGCTGTGCGTGTGAGGGCAAGGGACACAGCCAAGCCCCCTATTTATTAGCCGGCAGGCAGTGCAATATCCCAGAGGAGGACAGTACTAGCAAATACCAGCCCCATCTCTCTCCTGCTGAGCTAGGTTATGCAAGAGACAAAGAGCGTGAGTGAGCTGGGACATCCAAAGGGCAAGCTGGGGGCTGGGCCAGGCAGGGGAACCCACAAACCATTCCCTGCTGTTAATTTTAGCTATCTGCTTCCAAATGCCAGAATTCGTGCAGCAGAAAGAGTGGATTGCAGCCAGTTCTGCAGCTGTCCCTGCCTCCATGGAAAGGCAAGCTGGACTTGGCCAGCAAAGAAGAATAAAGACAAGTAAAACAACCACATGAGCAAGAACAGCACCACCCAGTCTTTCCCTAGGGAGGAGTGGGGTGAAGGAATCAGATTGCTCCTGCCTGACTCAGGTGGAGGGTTTACCGTACTTCTCCATGTGCACAGAGCAATCCATCGACTCCCCACTTCTTCTTCTTTATAGTAGAATCAGGGAAATGACAAAAGCAAGACAGGACAGAGGGAAAGGTTGCAGGAAGGAGAGTAAAGTGTGTGCATCTTGCCCTACTGGGCTGCATGTGCTATGCTCGTATACCAGGGAGCTGTTTAAAGAGCATTTGATTCAAATTTGTCAGGTTTATATGAACAAGCATGAGCATCTTCCCTCTGCACCAACCTCTTCCTGTTCGTCATCATTCAAATACTTTCTCAAGCATTTGATTAGAGCGAAGTGGCTTTTTGCTGCAATTCCACTGGGCCCTGTCCCATGACCACTCACTTCTATCCTCCATTGTCTTTCAACGATAACTTTCTGTTTGCCAAAATCACTTCTCCATTTCCATAATGTTGGCAGGTGCTCCCACAATCAAACAGGCTGCCGGATACTTAAAGATGCAGAAAGAAATTTCTACCAGTCCCAGAGTTACAGACAACTCAGAACTCAGCTCAGAAAGCCGGGCATGGCCACAAGGAAGCAGAACCGCTCTAGTCTAGGCCCCTGCCGACGGGTTCTGCTGCTAAGGGCTCACTGCGACAGTGTCCACATATATAGTTCGTACCCAGCACCCCCAGAAAGGTATGGCCTGATGGGTTTGCCCATCTGGGAAAGCTTATCAACTTGTCCTTTTAAGTCATGAGGAATGCTCAGAAGTGTAGAAGGTGCCCTACTGCACTGGTGCCTTACTAAATCAGATCCCAGGAGTTCCCAGCCTTACAAATCACAGCCCCAAATGAGCAATGTTTGAACTTGCCCCTCAAAACAAGTGTCTGAGCTACAGAAGATCCTCTCTGTCACCCAGAAGAGTGAGCCCAGGGCTGAAGCTGATGCAATGCAGAGCAGTCATGTCAAAAGTGGCTTGTCTAAGCTTGGCCCCAGTGACATTTGCACAGTTCACAGTCACTGAAGCTCTGTCTGATGCACAGGCAGGACAGGTTTGCTCTGAGCTGTTCTGTTTTGATCCCAATGGCACCTACAGCTGCTTATATTCGCTGTGCCAGAGCCCCAGCTAGACACATCAGCAGAGAGAACAAAAAGAGAGTCCAACCCTGCATATAGAACTAATGGGGACTGATATCTACAGACTGCCAGTGGCTCTCGCAGCAACCAGGAAGCTTTGCTTTCTGCATGTGCTTCTAAGAGACGTGCCATGGCAGGTGCGGCTCTGATCCTGGCTCCATTCTGGCCATGAGCTGCAAGAAAGATGCACCAGCCCTGTGATACAAATACACATGAAAAACAACCAGCAGAGCATGCCTTTCCATTATGGCTAGTCACAGATGTAAAGCACAGGTGGTGCACCCCAGAACAAGACCAGCCTAAAGGCACCCTGTCCACCTCCTCACTCCCCTTCATGCTTGTGCAAGCCTCCAATGCTGCAACGAATTCCCAAACAAACTGGCTGACCCGTTGCTCATTTCTACAGAATCCTTCCCCCTTTTGTGGATTGAAGTGATGCTGCTGGGCTCCATCAGTTCATTCTCAGGGTCGGTTCTGTGCCTTACACACTCTTACACCAGCGGATGTTTCTCTGAAGCTCCAGCTCCTGGAATCCTGAGATTACATGAGAATCTCTTCTTGCATTTTTTTTTAAAAGGCAGCTTCTGGTCTTTGTGGCTGTGAAGTAAAAATGGAAAATGCTATTCCTAATGCTCAAGAACTCATGATGAATGAGCAGAAGCCTGTCAATGGCTTTAAAAAATCCTGGGATTTTTAAGCCAATCCCGTTATTTTGGGGGGCCTGGCTCAGGAGTCATCAATGTCTCTCTAAAACAATGTCTCCTGTGTAGGAAGAATTAAGACAATAACCTCCCCAGCTCTAGCCTCCTATCCAGTGACCTCCAAGAGAGCAACTGCTTCAATAGAAACCCTTCTGCTAGTTAAAATGTTTCAGTGAGGCCAACTCTCAATTGTCTCCTCTGGAGACTAAATAACCCCAAGGTTCCTGTGTCTTCTCAGCCATAAACTTCTTTGTTCCATTTATCTTGTTGGCTGCCTTGCTTCATACATACTGATCTTAGGAGCTGTCACCTGATCAGGGACTTCAGCCTCAAAACATTTATGCAATTGTATCTGTGGAAACATGCATTAACTCAAGCAGTGAATTCTCAGCCTGTGGTAGTGCGGTTCTAGGGGGCACAGAAGGTCTTGCCATAGGATCCACAGACCTATATTCAATCCAGGAGAATCTGCTGTCATTTGGCAAAAGGAGCTTCACTGCCATTAAAGTTTTCTACCCCAGCACCCCTGTGCAATGAGACACATTCGCTTTCATGGCTCCGTCCCCCTCCATCTTCTGTGGAAGTTCCCATTAACCGGCTGCATCTCTGAGCTGTCCTAACTTGAGCTTATCTTATCTGGGAGGTTTTGAAACCCCATGTAAAACCTTGCGATAGGGCAGTAAAGGCCTTTGCTCCTGCCACCCTTCCCCCAGCTGGGTTTGGTGAGGTTTTGACAGCACCCGTGGGACAACCCCTGCGTGCTTTGAGATGAGATCTACACAGCAATGCTATGTCCTGGCTAGGCTCCCTACCTCTTGTCATGATCCCAGCTCCACCCAAAGGCCAGCCTCTCCCTCCAAGAACTACATCCCTGCCAATGGGTCTTTATGTAAGGACCCTGTTTTCATAACAACTGTTTTTGTCTCTCCATACCCCCCTGCCCTGCCTCCCCAAACACATTCCCCGCATCCAGCTGGGACCAGTTTATTACAGACTATGCCTGTGGGGGAGGAGAAGTCAGCACAGAGGCTTTGTCTTTTATTAAAACAAAACAAAAGCCAAGAAGGGCAGGGATGAGCATTACAAGAGCTCTGGGCATCAGGGGGAGCAGGATGGGGCAGAGGTCATGGCCTTCCTCAGCCCAGAGACTCACTGGACAGTCTGGCTCATCCTTGCCAGGGGTCCTGGGGGTCACTAGCAGCCCCCCTCTATTTTATGGGCTTCTGTCACCATGGTGTCTAGCAACTCAGAGATGTTCCTCCGTTCGCCCTCATGGAACTCAGACCCTCTTGCCCTTGCCACTTCAGCTAAGGGAGATTTCCCATGGCACTTAGCCATGTCAGGCTCATGACGCCCAGCTGAACTGTTCTGAAGGTCATACAGCAGAGAGCAAAAGTGCAGACAGAAACAAGGCAGGTCACGTCCGTTCTTTCCTCCAAGGTTGGATCTGGGAGCCTCTCCGAAGCTGTTAGCTCCCAGCCATGGCGCTTGCTGACAAGCTGGATGTTGGGGGAGAGTGTTAGTACAAGGGCCTTTCACTTGTACAGGCTGGAGCTCCTCAGTGCTCTCCTCTCAGTCCTCCCTCCTGTCCCCTTATCAATTCACCACCATTGTTAATCTGTCTTCTAGCAAGACCCAGGACTGTGTAACAGGAGAGACCACAGGACAGGCTTGAGAAGCAGCGACCTGTCCACATGGGGTGGGGACAGGCCTGGGATGTCAGGGGGGGCAGAGGTGCATTGGTGGGATTTGCAGGAGGTGCTCATGGAGCCCCTAGGACTGAAAAAATCCAGGGTGGCAAACAGGGACTGAGGAGTGCTACCAGTATTGTGGGGAGATGAGGGGCAAATGCGTAATTAGGATGGGTGAGCTGGACATCAGCCCAGGGTACCAACTTAGAAAGGGCACCAAAATGTCAGCTCCCCTAGGCCTGCTTTGCTGCCAGAGCAGCAGCCAATATTCAGGGAGTTCATCCCATGGCAATAGCAGCCCCAGGGGGCCAAAATTACTAGTTACACCTATGCCAGGGGGTCCAGAGCTGGAATAGCAAGACGACTCTGGGACAGGGTTGAGGGACATTGGCAGAGCCTGAGGCAGTGGAGATCCTAAGCCTGGGGCATCATCACAGTTACATGTGGACAGCCCAGGGCTGGGGTAGCAGGCTGAGTAACAAGGACTTCAATGTACAGACTGGGTTATCTTCGTATCAGGGTTGTACAGGCTGGGTTATCTTCGTATCAGGGTCAGCCCAGAAGCCAGCACAGCCCCTGAAGCAGTGATGATTAGTTAACTGGGGCTACTGAGCCAGAAGAGGGAGCAAGAAACCCCATGTTTTCATGGGTCCTACGAAAGCTGAAAGGATTGCCTTGTCATTTCAAACAATGTCACAGCTATGGTAACACACACATACAGACACACATATGCACACTCACACACACCTTCTCCCCTTGCATAAATAAGCGGCCATCCTTTAAAACCAAAGGAAGCTGCGCCAGCTTACATCAAGGCAGAATTTTCCTCAACATCCTCTTCAGCCAACCGCGTCAGAGCTGGATCGCCGCAGGGACCCTGTTGCACAAGAAACAAACTGCCCTTGGAGTGCTGGGTCCAAAGAAAGAGATTGATGTGTACTTCTACATTGCAGCTAGCCATGCAGGAGCTTGATGCATATGTTTTTGTTTTGTTTTGCTTTTGCGGAAAAATTTTCATGTCCCAAGTCAAAACAGCCACATCAATTCCAAATCCATGTGAATAATTCAAGAACCATATGTGGCCCTGCTACTGGGAAGCATCCTCCACCCCTGCCTCGGCTTCAGATACTTTCAAATCCTTTGGTGGGCATCCGGAGGCTTGGGGTTTTGATACCCCTGAGTTTCCCTTGCCTTCAACCATATGGCTGCAGAGCAAGCTAGAGAGGAGTCTCCCGTTTCCATAAAGTTGGCATGTAGCCGAGATCCTCCCACTGGAAGTCAAAGTGGGAGGCTATCTATGAGGGTCTCATAGGGACTCCTGTCCACAAGCAAACAAAGGTGCAGCCCTTCACTACACAGTGCCATTTTAATTGCATTACCTCGATCAGGGTACTGCCACGGTCATGGTTTTCCCCTGCTAGTAGGAAAAGCACCTTGGTGGTCATGGTATTTCCCATGGGTGTGTACTGGAATCACTCCACCCCTCACTGAAATGCAAATGCAGCCACCTCCAGGGAGGTGTGTGGCAGCCACCTCACAGGATACAGCCATGCGATACACCGTGAGACTGTAAAGTGCAGGGAGCTGCAACAAATACATGCAGCACCTGGCAAGGGTCCTACCAGCATCTGGGCCAGGATGGTACCACCCCCTGTCTCAGCCACTAGCTGTGAGAAGATACAAGAGCCCTTGGCCTGCATATGCCTCCAACCTAGTGCTGTGATGGTGCCCAACTGGAGGCTGATCCCAGACATTTCACCTGCCAGGGCAGGAAAACAGGGATGTCCAGGAGAGATGGCTTGATCCCAGCTGGACACCATTGCCCCGCACGTGGGCAGCAGGAACAATGGAGGGTTTGATCTGGAAGAGAATGCGGTGGAAGGATCACGCGGTGCTGCCTTACATAAGCTCCCTTGATAAACAACATGTGTTAATGTTTTCAGCAAGGATTGCAAAACCCCCATGATGTGGGGAGAGCAGTGACCCTGTGCTGTTTCCTGGGGGGAGCCAGGTGGGGAGGGCTCGCTCTGCAAACCACAGCCTCACCCCTCATACAGGGTCCTGGATATTAGCAGCTTTCAGCCCTTCTGCCTGCTCAGCAAAACCTCCCTGGCCTGTGGCAGGGCCCCTCTCCCTCCTGAATGTTCCAGCCCCGGGGACCGAGAGCATTCGCTGCACTCATCCGCATGGAAACATCACAGCCCAGACTGCACAGGCTCAGTCAAAGCTTGCCAGAGCCCTGCTCTGGTCACATACACCTCTCGTTTCCTAAGCAGAAAGGACTTGGGCATCTTTTAACTGTGTTCCCCAGAGGACCTGTGACTTTGGTAGGGTCTAGGCCCCTGCCTGTATCCACAATGAAATCCTTCTTACACAGCTGCTGGTGCTGCCAGGATGAATTATATGCTGGTGTGTGTATGTTTGCTATTGCTATTCACTGTCGCCGCTCATTAGATGGTGCTGTCAGGATCCTATGGCCTGGTGAAAGGCCCTAAGGGTTTCTGTTCTCCTCAGTGCTTCCTCCTAGGATCCTGCAGAAGCAGGTACAGTATTGGGCTGGTCACCACAGGGATATTCTCACTGGATAGATCTGGCATTAACACTTCTGTAGAATCACTGGGCATTTATACACATGCTCTGGGCAGCATGGGGGGGGGGGGGCGGGGATGCTTTAATTAGCACAGCTCCAAGGGCCATGGTAATTGAGTGCCCAGAGCATCACGTGTATCTGTGGCAGGGTGCGTTGAACTCATTGAACGAGCTTTAGTTTAAAGCATCCTGCCACCATTTTTCAGCGCAGGGACTCTGATACATGGGGTGCAGGAGGTTGCTGGACTGCAGTAATTTCCACGCTCCAGCAGACTCGATTAATCGTGTATAGAAGCCCACTGATCCCACGTAAGTGCACCTACTCCACTGCCTTAACCTTCTTCCCTTTGAATCTGGGCAGCCAGGATTTTGTTTCTTAAATAAGTGCATGGCCTTATGGGCAGATATCCCACAATGCATTATTCTGCTGCTGGGCTCTGCATGCTGGGGTTTATCTCACAGTGCATTGTGGGATACCTCCTGGAAGTCATTGGAAGTCTGGAGCTTAGGATCACACTAGCAAGTACCAATGATTCATTTGGATGCCAGAAGTTAGGGATTTAGAGGCAAATATAATGGCTGGGCAGGAAGGGAAGCATCTGCAGCCTGGGGGAGATCAGGTGGGATTGGTGTTGAGGCCAAGGTGAGTTCAGTTTTAAGGATGGGTAGAGGAGGCCTAGGATAGCCAGTACAGCAGACTGACTGGGGCACCATGGCAGATGATGGTGGATGTTCTCCAGAGGGCAGAGCAGTACTGTCAGGGGTATAACCAGGACATAGGCAGTCACAGATTGAACCTAGAGATTGCAACCCAGGACATCAGGGACAGACAAGGTCAGGGAAGAAAGAGCCCAAGCTAGGGTCAGGGGAGCAGGAGTAGGCAGGTCAGAAAACTGGGAAATAAGCAGTAACCCTGGATAGACACACAAGGCAGGGGGCAAAGCAGGTCAGGAACAGGAGGCAGGGATCCCAACCACAGTTATTAGCCAGAGGCTCCAGAGCAGGCAGGACATGGGCAGTCAGTGATCTGAAACCACAAACCAGGAACCAGCTGTTGGAGGACTGGTGTCTGTAGCTGGCCAGGCAAGCTGGAGCAAGGAATTAATAGAAAGCAGCCAGCACCCAACAGGCAGAAGCCAGGAACAAGGATGAAGCCAAAGAAACCAACAAGCAGGATACAGAGAGCCAAGAGCAGGCAGGAACTGGAAATCAGAAGCCCAAGGCTATGCAATAAAGCATCTGCTCTGATGAGTGTCCTCCTAAGCCAGTGATTCTCCACCAGGGTGTATGGGATCCTTTTGAGGGTGCCACAGGGTGTTACAGAATATTAGCACTGTCAGGAGTGCAAACACCTACATGATTCACAGGAGAAACATTTCAAACAAGGAATCCATGGCAGCAAAACCAGTCTGACTTGCTGAGGGCTTTCTGAGTTCTTTGCAACAGAAGAATTGTTCTATCTTTGTTATATAGGCCAGAAACAGGTGAAGGTATTTCCCAAGAGGTGCCTTGAGTCTGACAAGATAAAGGGCTGCTGTTTATAAGCAGGCAGCCATGCCCATGAAGCCACCTGGGGCCAGCTGTGGGTAGTTAG